CATAAATCTGTTGTAAATACCGATAAGTATAGGTTTGATTGATGAAGGGAATAAAATGGCTGTGGGAAATGTAGTGAAGCATCTTGAAATAACATCCAAGTATTATATGATTCACTTCTCAACAATGGTTTTCGAGTTAAACGCCTTTCATTAAAATCTTCATGTACAATAATCAATATCGTAGAAACAGATGCAAGAAGGACGTAGGACGTTTTAACGGAACAGAATGTGGTATTAGCTGACAACTATTTATCAATAAATAAAATGTAAATATGTCCCCTGAAATATGTCTTCAATGAGGGAATAGTTCAGTTTATCAGAACAATCAACATTTTTTTGACGAGGCATCAAGTATCTGTTTTTCAATCTTCAGCACATGTGCGGTGTCGAGCATTTCCTGGCATTTTTCCGTTTATTCAGTGAGTGAAAGGTGAATATAAGAGCATAATTTCGACTGAAGATTTCAACTCAAGCTCTAACGTTTACTCCATTTTCTTTTTCACCCGGTAGATTAGAATGTAATACACTGAAATCTTATTAACAGACAAATGTTGATAACTTCTGGTACTTACAGTGAAGTTTCTAGTTAAATTTATCCTCTTATATACGGGACTCGCCAACTAAATAAACTAAAAATTACCTGAAAATGCTAGATATTACATTTTTGTTGAACATTTAAAGAATGAATGGATATACTCACGTTTCTGATTTCCCATTTAGAAGTTATTTATGTTCAGTGCTCCTAAAAATCACCACATTCAACAAATAATAAAACTAAAACTGAATAATCAAAACAATAAGACTGACACCAATCCTATTCTTCTCGTGACAAACCTGACTTAAATATTCTTATTTGAAAGTACAGATGTCGTCCGCCGACAATGTTATCACTGGAGTTTATTTTGATAATCTTTACAAGTCACAAGATCACTGTCAGATATAAGTGACTAAGACAATATATGATGTTTTTTTTAACTACAAAAGCTGATTGTTTTGTATAAAAGGAGTAATAATGGATGGAAAATAGTATGAAAATAATCTAAGGAAGGGGTAGATCTTTGTCTAATGAAAGGATGGATACAGTAACATACGAAATAGGGTGAATGATCACAAATTTATAGACAACTCTGTTTTATTGGGGACAAATGAATTTTTTCGAGTTCTGCTGAGGAAAATTTTTTATCTCAACAATGTATTTACTCATACACATATTTAAATGGCTTATGAAGATTCGTTCTATTCAAAGATAATCGTATTTTTAAATTTACCAAAACAACCGATAGTTTTAACAAGTAGCTTTATACCTCTGAGTTTGTACATGGCTAAGGAGTCAATTTTTTGATTTTATAATACGAGTAATATATAAGTCCAGAATGGTCACAGTAAAGTACATAATTATAATTGATGTGAATTCCTCAAATGAAAACTGATAAAAAACTAAGTGTAAAACTGTGGTGTTTGTATGAACTAATGGTTTTTTTGTACTTGAGTTCTCGGTTGATTTCGAATTCTAAATACAAAACGCTCGTCTCTGCTCACCTAGTCCTAATTGACTTAAATTGCATTGTTTCGGAAATTCTTAGTTAATACAATAATTCGAATACTCCGTACTATCATAAAAACAATAATTCATTTAGTAAGGCAATTTTAGCACGGAAGATTACTATAAATATTTAATAGATGATAAGAGTACAAAGTGCGAACCGAACAAAAACTAAATATTTTCATTAACTGTCGGGATATTACCATGGAAAAAAATGACGAAGTTCTCTAGTCCTCACGCGAATGAGGAAGTAAAATGAATAGCAGTGATTAAAAAATAATGATGATACCTTTTACTTACATACATGCTGATTGAAATTCATTATAATTATATCTGTAGCCAGTTTCTGTCATAGGTTGATATCAAACGGAAAGTCACTGATAATCGAATGAAACAGTATACCAGCTTTGTCCTTGTTCATAAGCACTAAGCTTTTTCCACTAATCGAAACGAGTCTTCAGGCTCATGGGTTAGCATGACACCTTCAAGCTACTCAGTTGGAATCGGATGGATTGTAGTAGGAGATGGTTATGGCACAATACTCATTGATCGGAGTCTGGACGTTTATACATTTCAGCTAGTGGCTTAATAGTATCATTCTTAATTGGAAATTTAAATAGCCTAATTTTTTTCCTTGAATGACAGCTGCGTTTTGTTAAAAAAATCTTAAACTATGGCAAAGCGTATATCCAATTTCTTGTGATCGTTCATGGTTTTCCAACTAAGTTTCCTTCTATAGTGAAAAATATGTTGAAGTCTAGATATTGTAAAATCAAAAATAAGTAAATGAGTGAAAACTAAGCCATACCATTCTTCAATTTTCTGTGTATTATGATTCGAAAACTTCCTAACAAATTTTGTTTTGAAGTTTTGAAAGTGATTTTCAACTTTATTATTGGATAGAGATTCGATAAACAACGAAACATTTTGCTAAGAAATGTAAACAAACATTTAAAAGACAAATTACAACTACCAGGAAAACTTAGTAAATTATTCCGACTGATGAATTTATTTGTTGACTCTATTATTAGAAGTGAAGTATCAATTCGTTTATTTATGATAACATAATTCCTTCTTTCATGACAAAGTTTACTAATTTGATATGATAAAGATGCTTGTATAATAAAGAATGACAAATGGGGTTTCCTCTGTAAATAAGCATTTGATAGGATTGTTTTAGATATCATTTGAGAATACCGTGTTGAACAAATTTTGTTTGAGTCACTGATATATGGTTTCCTGTAAATTCTCATATTCTTTATGAAATGTTTTTCATGGACTGATACAAAACTGAGGTGTCGGGTTAGAGAAAGTTTTAAAATTTTTAATGTGTGCTTATCAAGACATAACGTAGCGAATAAGAAAACTCGATGTAAATATTGTTCAAACTGTTTAAAATGCAAGTATTTTTTATAATTGTGATACCTATATGTAACAACAAAACGATCATTCGTTTCAAAAAGGAATGATAGCTTTTGAGAACTATATAATTTAAAGATAAATAACATTTAAACGAAACAATTTATAATCCTCCTTAGTGTGTAACACTTCAGGGTGTTTTGCGATACACAGAAGTGCATCTTGCTAATCAGATCAGAATGAAATTTCTGTCATTGCCTTCTGCACTAGTATCTCACTTGGAGTAAGAAATACTGCCATAATTCACTTTTTATTTGGAACAAAATTAGGATTCGGAAGTTGTTGTTACTAATTTGTTGCATGATTAAAGTCCAATAAGGGAAATGGCATCTATAAAAACATTAAAACTTGATGACTGTTCAATCTTCTAGTAGCGTATTCTGAAACGGTAACCGATTTATTAACCATACTCAATGATGAAAGCAAATCCAATGACGACTGTCTTAGCTTTACATTTCATCACTTCAAGCAAAAGGCGGATAATTTATTCAATTTCTCAGTCAAAAACATTACCATTAAGATATTCAGGATTCTGCTGATTCCGCTTATAACTGGTTTAGGTATTCTATTCGTCGCCGGGTACTGGCCAACGTCATTTTGTTGAGTTCTCAATGTTGACCGAATTCTGTCATATACGACTGCAATTTTACCGGTAGTTTTAGTAACTCAAAAAGCTTTGAACTTTATTCGATCCAAGGCGTCAGGAGAAAATGAGTAAAAATCCTGAAGCTAGTTTTCTTGCCTGATGTCAGTTATGTTTAATATACTCCCTAAAAGAGTCAAAGTAATTATGTAATACTACATGATTTTAGAGTTACGATAATTTACTTTTGGTAAGGTTCACGGTAGGTTTAGCCATTATAATGAGTATATATTTCTAGAATGATAGTAGTTGGACTTTTTAAAAAATTACTATAACAAGGTTTCGAAAATCTACCAGCTTGAAAATGTGTACATTTTTAAATTGATAAGATGAATGTTGGTAATATTTTGGAACATTGTGAAAACCACCTGGATACTTTATATTTGTAATCGCAAATATTTTGTTAAATATCCATTAGATTTTGAACGTTCTCCGTAAACATCTGTACTATGTTTAACGGAAAATTGTTTTCTCATTGTGAAAATTAGAACAACACTACTACTATCAGTACACTTGTCTTCCCACTATCAACTTGTACTTTTGACTATTATGCTTGGTGACGTATTCTATTTCATTGTGATTATTGACTCAGATAGCCTTGATTGGTCGAACATTTTCGTATAAATTTTCATGTATATTAGAGTAAAGCCTGATGACGATCTAATTGAAAACAATTGTTTGCTTACATATGTTGTTCTAATTTATTTTCGGCCAACCAACTTTCGAAATGGCTTTTGTAATATTTGATGTCATAGTACTTCTTGGATCTCTCGAAGATTTATTGTTTAACTTTATAGTTTTATGAGAATCTATGATTTATCATTCTATAAGTTCTTTCAGTATGATTGGTTTTCTTGATTAACCATGCTACCTTACCAGTAAAATGTTATATAAAACAGGACTCTGTTGCTCTGTAAAATAGTTCTGTTTGAAATCATTTTAGAGTTTATTTCATATACGTCAAAACTTATTTGGAAAAGAACTTAATGCGGGCTAACAAGTAAACTGGATCCTAAATGAACAGATGACTTGTTCTTTCCTATTCAAATAAACAGGAATCGATGATATTTGCTCTCTTGAATAAATGAGAATATGATTCTTCAATTAGTAATCGTCAGATTGTTACGCGTGATTAAACCATATTCGCATACGAAGATTACAAAATGATTTGATTTGTAGCTTTAAAAAAATACATAATTGGGTGAAATTCATTCTGAAATCGTGAATATGACTCAACTATCATCAAAAAGCCTTATACATAACGTCTATAACTTGCTTCCCTAAAATAAATTTTATGGAAACCTAATAAATTAATTAGTATTCACATTTATTCATTTATTTAATGAGGAAATTAATATCAAGCTTCTATAGCGTTTTCTAGCAGTATTGAGCCTAATGTTCAGAATATGGATATACTTTGCTTTAATTTATTTGATTCACATAACTGTCAGCACAGCTAATCATCAACCAAGTGACTATCCTGATTCGGAACTAATTGATATGGATTTACCATCGAGTGTTTCAAAGCCATATTATACATCTGAGAGTGATTCCTATGAAAAGAATAAAGTTTTGAGTCGTATAAGCAGAATAGCACACAAGCGTGCACAACATCTACTTATCACACATCTTGACCTTCCACGCAATCTAAGGGGGTATGACAATAATGAAAATGATTATGGATCTGATACACCAGTGTATTTCCAGAAACTTGTTAGTAAGGTTCATCAGGCATCATTAATGAGCCCTGAAAAACGTCTTTATTCATCAGATGATGTAGAGCTTATAAAAATATTGATTAACCTTATTAAGCTTTTCAAAAAAAAGCGTGTTCAAAGAGTGAAACCGGTAGCTTTAGCTAATCACATTATTATGACCCGACCAGCTGTTCACATCGAAACTTCAGCAGAACTTCCACCGCCAAATGATCTAATTGATTATTGTAAAGATCAGAAAACATTATCTTCTCCTAAGTCTACTTCGATCGGTTTTCACGTTTCTAAAACTGCTTCATTACCTCATGTTAATCCTACAGAGTCTTTGCAACAAACACCCCAGTCTTTTTCCACCGACTCCTCCAAACATACGGACACTGTTAGTAATGTTGATGCATCTCATTTAAAAATTATGGCTACTCCTGTGTTATCTCAAACTGGTTTTTCACAGCAACCTTCTAGTATGCTTAACGGAAACTCTATTGGCAAGCCAGAAACTGAATATTTCATTACGGCACAGCAAGTAAGAAGTAACTTTCCTAGAATGTCAGAATTAAACCCGTTTGGAACCCCCCTTCACCTCACTTTTGGAGAAAATGGTAATTCTATTCATCCAGTTTACAAGTATACACCAGTGTATAATCATGCTGAAGCGTCATCTTCAGTGTCCATAAGACGACCAAATATCCTAACTGGCACTAGCATAACTGAACTCCCATCACCGAAGGAAACCCATCTACAAGTATCTCAGCAAAGCTCCCAAAAAGTCTTGACAAATGAATATTCATCGACTTCAACCTCTCCTGTAAACCAACCTGATAATCTCGAAATTCAGCCAATACACCAGGAGAAGCAGATGTTGCAGCAACAAGAAGGTCAATCACATACAGTTAAGTTACCACAACAATCACTGACACAAAAATCATCGCAAATTTCTCCAGTCACGTCAACTCAACAACATATTCCTCCTAGTAGTAAAGATTTCAGTCATGCTAGCCAGTCAACTGATGTGAATAATTTATTAGTCACCCCTCATACTCAATTCCCTGGACAGCAAAAGCAACAAGTTGTTTCTCAGGAGTCTTCTCATAAACCTATTCAGCAAGCATCAAAAACTTATACTAACGTACCATCACCGTTACCTCCATCAGTACTTACTGTTTCGAAAATTGGAGATTATGATTGGCATTATAATATATTTCATCAAATTAGGCCTCGACGATGGAATTTAAAGAATTATTCAATCAAAAAAAAACTTCTTGAACAGATCCAAAGAGTTTTATCACATTAATAAATGGTTAGTTTTTTTTAAAGTTTCAATAAAGAGCTAATTTTTTTCCTAATAAAACACAAATATCATAATAGATTTCCTATTTTGTGTATCTCGTAGATTGAATAGGAAGTGTGTTTTTTAGAAAAACAGATTCATTATTTATCATAATGATCATCTGTAATTTGTTTTTATTTACAATATATATTTTTGTTGAAAGTCATAAAAAATTAGCATAATAAAAACTGCGTCTAAAAGTTTAAGTCTGATCATAGCTTTATATAAATCTATCGTTAAGCGGAGGGTAAAAATAAAACATGAGCAATGTGGATGCCGACTTGTCTGAAGTTGCGGACCCTGATCTCTAGTAAGTAAGATCCATCTTGTGGTATTTGTTTTAATGAAGTCGTTTGTTCGAAATTAAGTTGGTTGTTTAATTGTAAAAACAAATAAACTAGTTCTGTTGGTTTGGTGCTAAATATTTTAAAATCAATGCAAGGTTTCTATGAATAATTTATCAACCTACTTAACTTTCGGGTGACTTACCACTAATGTCAGATTCCTAAACGGACAGAAAAGAGAGATAATGGTGAGACTATAATTTATGAACGACCTTCGAACGACACTAAAAAGACCTTGAGAATATTCAACTACATACTACGGCTAAATGAGGGTTATAAACAAGTGTGAGGAATTACGACTAATATTTACAGTTGATGGTTAGGGTTAGGAATTAAATTTAGGGTTTTCATCACGACTTGATATCAGCTATAATGTCAAAACTCTATTTAGCCAAATGAATGAATGAATTTCGCGTCAAAACCCAAGACCTGTCATCGTAAATCTGTTTGGTCCATCCATAAATTAGAGTCTTGCCATATTTCAGCGTATTATGATATCAGAATAATATCCCATAAACTTCCAAAGTACATCAAAAAGTCGATGCCGGGATAAATCCAGTATGATGCCCAAAAGTATAAAATACTGTTTACGACTGCGTATTAAAATAATTTACACTATACCATTTTTATGCAATTCCCAGTTTTATGATAATAGTATGAGATAACTTGAATATGACTACAGCAGTCAATTTTAAATAGATAGTTTGTAGAGAACTGGATGACTGAGAGGTCTCATTCATTGTGAACCAATGTGAAAGAGAAAATATGTGACGTTTTTTAAAGGTTATTTTCATGGTGCAAGTCAGACTACTTTTTGGTTCTAAACTGCTGTACTCCAAAGCAGCGACTGAATAATTAGACGTAACAAATAAACCGAAGTGTTCCTACTCCATTAACTACGGAGTATGTGGCGCTCACTTCAGTACAAGCGTTATATTTTTAACTACCGTAATTCTTTTACGTAGCCGTTTTCTCCAATCTTTCTGTAGATGCGAAGGATGATAAGACTCAAAATAAATGACTAGATAAATAGGATTAGGCATAATAAAAAAAACAATAATATGTCTGATCCAAGTAACCAAAATAGTCCAATTTTATTCGTTAATTGTGGTTTAAACCAATCAAACTGTCACATGTTATTTTTAGTCCCATCTAGCTATCCAGATAGATTTCTATGTCGATTATCGGTAGTAGTAAGGTAGTCCGATGTTGTCCGTTTCCAAAAGACTAGGAGATAATGCTCTTCAATATGTCTTAACTGTATTCTAAGGCTTAACAGATTTTTTGATAGATTCCTGACAGGTTAAAAACAAAGGCCATCAACCTTTTTTAATACTGATATCCATATTGAAGGTATTCGTTATTTCTTAAGGTGTCCATAATAATGACTGGAGTCGAACTTCTCTCTTTTTCCTGAATAGAACTACATTGTTATTGTTTTTATGCTGTTAGTAGTTGTAATCTAAGGCTAAACGATTAAGTTGTGACTATTTAGATCTAGTTGCATGCTGTCGACTGGTTTAGTGTTCTGCTGGCGGCCTTAAATTACAATCATTGGTCGTCTGTAAGGCAAATAATGTCATCTTAGGTTTTTGAATTCCACTAAAACGTGACCATCAAAATTATTGAGTGTCCATTTTGGCTTTAACTTTTGTAAAAATTTGTTTCATGTACCTTAGGCAACGAAAGTACGGTTACAAACTATGTAGTCAAAATTAGATAACATTGGTGTGAGTGATGCGAAACTTCGCAATTTACTTGGCGTCATGCTGCAAATTCTCAAAAGAAGTAGTCTATAACAAGATTTGTAGGAACATATGATTTCGTTTCTTCAGCATTATTTTGTAAATACATGTTGATAAAATTTGTTATATCTCTGTTCTGACATGAGGAAGGAAGAAGAAAACTCTCTGGTCAATAAACTAACAAGAAGTGAGTATCTCCAGGTTTGCTATCTTCCTTCCATAGTAGTTAGTTAAGGAATTTGTTGAATAAAATTATCTATTATGTTGATACAGGTCTCCAGGTCACGAAGTTATCGCTCTTCTAATTGTCTGGGTACTAAAATTTAGTGGGAGGTTTCTCGATGATAGTGCAGGAAACGACGCTGGTTGTTTTATAACAAAAAATGGAGAGTGATAAATAAAACTGTGAATAAGTTAGTGTCTTGTTAATCATGTGAGTTTTAAACATCTGGAAAGAGAGGAATTGAGATACATTCGTGTATGCTATGTATCGGAGAATAAATAAGTTGTGCTTTGCAACCTTTTTTTGATGCTGACGTTAAACCTCTGGGACTCGGTTTTAACAGCTGTTCCTGTCCCTCTTGACTACAGGAAACAAATACACTGTTTCTCATGGCTTTTTTTAGCAACTAAGGGTGCCTGATAAGAACTTTGTTTGAAGCAGAATTTTGGTTATAGTATCACAAATCATAGAATCTCAGTAACCCGATGAGTTTGCTCATTGTTTCACTATTTATTCAAGTTTTTAACAAAAACATTCGTAATCCGAAATGAAAACCTGGTTTTGGAAATTTGAGAGTCGTTTATGAAGAAATGTGGTCATCTATTCGTAATGACTTACTGAGCGAACCTATCATTCCCCGTTCATCGCTTTCTAAATTTTATTTACTAAAAAATGTTAGGCCCCCAATTATTTTTTGTATATACTTTCCTGTATTTGTTGAGAAAGAAAACAAACTATCTCTGTAGTTTCGTTTTATATCACGCTACTCTGAGATTATTTAAAAAAAAACACAACCGATCACCATCACCTGAACCCTATTCCATATTACTGTAGAAATTAACAACATAAGCACAGAGAACCCATATTTAATTTAAGCTGTTTGATAATAACGAATAAATAAACAAATGAAACCTACATTATTGTTTACGTTCTGGAATAAGATAGAAGTATTTGTCTGGTTCCCACTTCCAGGTGGCAAGCCACAAAATTAATGGCGAACATGAAATCCGTACTAGGAATTTTCGGATCATAAAGTTTTACTTATTTAATCAGCTTGGTAAAGTTAGATTTCTACCGTCAATTAGAATAACTACGAAATATAAATTATCACTTTTTCTGGTAATCTGCAATAACAAACTGAATTTCTAAAATTCGGAATATTTCTGACTTATAACGAAACTTACCGAAAAGGGACTATTACACAGCACAGAATGTTAGAAATCTATCACACATTATATCTATATCTTTCAGGTTGTGCAGATACCCAGTCTTACTAAAATGATGAAATTAAAATATGAGGAGCTAGGTTAGCAACTTTCTTTTTTTAACGAAATTTCAATAGCGAAAGACGGCTAAATTAGCGACCTAAATGAAAAAGAATTTAAGGATTAACAGTTTGGATATACATCCAATTTGAGATTTATGTTCACTCAGGCCCTTATAAAGTGCTTCCGGATTAACGTTCATTTCCTTTAAAAACTTTTGATTTTGTTAAAACAATCTAACCTAGAAATGAGGATCTGATAAATACGGATTGGAAAGGTTTCCAGTGTCTTGTATAATTAATGGTTAAACTGAAAACATTTATGTTTGAAGTTTTGTGACGAATGAAGTTTGATATTTTGGGTAATTTCAACTAGAAACTAGCCAATCATTATAAATGATAAGTCTACCTGACTAAATTAAGCTTCTCTTAAGGTAATCTGAATATTTAAATTCGAAAAACGAATTTCATTTTATTCAGATTGAAATATATATATATATATATACTGCAGCTATCTTAAAAAGTTAAAGTTTTTATTTGAACTTCGAAAGTAAGAACGATATGAATAAGTAAGATATGAGGTAAATGTGATAAAATCTTTAGATTAGCATGACTCCAAATCACTTTTTATCAGAATCAGTTTCTTGGGAGCTATTGACATCTACAAAATGAGCTATAGTAAAGTTTAAAGGTATTTGATCATGATATATTGATGTTAGGTCCAGATACAATTAGGGAAGTAATCTCATTCTTTTATTTAATGTACTGATTGTAACATTAGCTAACCAAACTGACAAAGACTACCATGAAACACCGTATCGACTTTTAAACAAAATACTAAAGAACAACATTCAGAAGAGTATTATTAATTAGTGTCGTTTGCATCCAAGAAAAATGGACTAAACTAAACGCAATAGGGATTCAGTGTTGTACTGTAAATCCTAACAAGAAATTGAAAATTAAATCGCTTGGTATCTATTACATGCTAAAATTTAAATCTAAGGGGTGCTTCCAGTTGTTGCAATAGACGGCATAATAATTTGCTTGTAACCTCATATAAAAGTGAAATTTACTTGAATTTCATTCTGTCATAGTCAACAAAGGGCCTGGGACCAATATAAATTGACCCACTTTGCTAGACTAAATCAACATAGCAAGATGAATACCGTAACAGAAGAAGTAGTTGTAGTATCAGTGATAACAAAAACGTATAGACACGGAAGATAGAATTGGAGGAGAAAAGATGAATTCGAGGAATAACATGTGTTTTCCTAGTTTTTAAGGGAATAATTTCTTTTCGACTAGATAAGTAGACGTATACTGCCAGAAAATATTTTCTCTGATTACTTAATTCATTGATACTTGATTCATTTGGCTACATTTATTCCCTACTCTTCTCTTAGTCTTCTTTCAGTAAGTATACTTTGGGCTCCATTGGCGGTTCTAGTTAACATCTTGGCCCCAAATTCTGTATTTATGGGTGTAAAATCATCAAATTAAACACTGGTTATTATTATTATTATTAATGGCTTTGTTCAATATTATAATCTGGTACAATATAGAATTCTCAGCACGAGTTATTTCAACAAGTTTTTTTTACCAAAAAAGAAACAAAACAAACAAAAAAACAGAACAGAAATAAAAAAAGGTTTAGGAAAATCTGAGTTTATACAAATTATCGAATTTGAGACATGCTTAAGAATACAGGTTATTTACTAGGTCAACTCTAACAGCCTGTTCGTCACAAAGTAAATTTGCAAGGTAAGGTATTACAGAACTTTTATAGATTTGCTTGCGTGCATGGATTTTAATGTATTTACGTCTCGTTCTACCAGAAGATATACAAGGAGAAAGATATGAATGAAGCGGATGGTTAGTATCTGATAAGATAACACCTGCCTAGAGTTTGCAAGACTTAAGATGTCTATCCACAAGCATATTAACAATGACTTCAAAAGATTCACCACATACCTTGCAAACCGCCTTCAGCACTCTACGCAAAATAGCAAAGTCTTTTCTCAAAAGCCCGGGAAAGAATAATGGAGAACAATATAAAATAATAGGTAATATGCAGGAATTTACAAATTGTAAGAGTAAATGGCGAGTAATCCCAAAAGCATGCAGCCTCTTTATGTAGTATGTCAAACGGTAAATTTTTTTCGATAACAGTAAAACATGAGAAGACCAAGAAAGATCAGAGGAAAAAGTAACACCAAGATATTTGACCTTCGACACTGTGTTTATTAAGGAGTCTCCAATAGCACAAGCATTATCGGATCCCAACATAAAGTATAGGTTCTGTCCATGTCTCAAGCTAAAGTTAACAGCTTGACATTTAGATGGATTGAGTAAGAGACCATTACCAACAGACCACCTTTCAATACGAGATAAAAACTCATTCATTTCTATAGGATGTAAGGAGGTAGAAATTGGCATACATACATTGAGGTCGTCCGCATATTTTACAAGTGTTTTCTGTGGAAGATGGCAGATCATGAAGAAAGAGAGAGAAGAGCAGAGGTGAAAAAACAGCTCCTTGTGGCACACCTACAGTAGACAGTAGAGATGTTGAACACTTTTCTTCAAATACAGTGTACTGTTCTCTTCCAGAAAGGTAGGAACGTAGCCAATTGGTTATCCAGCTGTCAGTGTCGATGCTGATCAGCTTGTTAAGTAAGAGGTGTCTTGGAATAGAATCGAAAGCAGAAGTATAGTCCAGAAAATCGAACATGCTTCTTACCCTTTTCCAACCCGAACACTATATTGTGATGCAGAACAGCAACGGCATCTAATGTGCTTCTTTTGCATTTGTAAGCAAACTGATATGGATCACAGTGCTCTTTTATTGCAGGTTGAAGCAGTTGTATCAGTAATTTTTCCGTTATTTTGAGGAAAGGTGAGGTTATTGCTATGGGTCTAAGTTTCGCATTTTTATCACCAGAATCTTTCTTAGATATAGGGATTACCTTTATCTTTCTCCACATTTTCGGTAAGACATTAGTTGAGAAGGATCTGTTATAGATATTCGTTAATGGATAACATAAAACATCAGCACATTTTTTAAAAAGGATGTTTCGGATACCATCAGGTCCTAAACATTGGGATGAATTCAGAGACTGGAGACATTTCCGGACATCATTTTCAGTGAAACTGGGGACACAATCATTCTTCAAACCCTTGGATATAGGGAGCATGATGTCAGATGACTGACGAATAAAGGACTTATTTAAGTCACAAACATTTAGCTGGTTATCGCTTCTAGTCTGCCTGTCCCCTGTAATTTCTTTAACGAGTTTCCACATACTTGGAGAGCTTTTACAAGATAGGAGTTTTTGAGTAAACACAGAGTTGAGACGTCTAATCTCTTGCTTTATTTGACCAATTAACTTACGAACTTCAATTGTGTTTTTCTCCTTGTACATCCTTTCTTTTACCCGCCGTAGTCGTTTTAGTTGTGGAGATGTAAGTCGATCAAAACTTAAAAAGGTTTCGGTAGGACAGCAAATATCAAAACAGAATTTAAGATAAGAGGTGATAACATCCGTTGTGTTTTCTATTGAGTCATCTGTAAGTACTTCCCAGTTGGTCGTATGAAACATGTTTTTCAGATTTTGTGAATTTTCTTCTGAGTAACTCCTATATATAACTTTTTTGGTATGGTGTATGTGTGTACTCTTTCCATGTTTACCATATACTTTAGGTAGGACACGAATTATACAGTGATCCGAACTAGACAATGCAGCACGTTTGCGAGTCACATAGGTACCCACATCATTAATGAAAACCAAGTCTAGATGAGCATTCAAACGAGTAGGAAAATCGGTAGGATTAAACTATACTGCCGTTTTTGCGCGCGTTTCAAAAAGGGCAGTGACTTTCATACTTATTGTGATTATCGTTGGTTTTGTGTATTTGTTGCATCAAAAGCATTCTTGGTCTACTTTAACTTGAATTAATTCAGCTAAGGTTTGAAATTTTATTGAAGACTTTGTCTCATGGTTCCTTCTTTTGCATATACTCTGACGCTTGTGTTATTACTGTGATCATATTGTGTTTTAAACCTAATCTCATTACAATGGTTGGCAGTTCATTCAAATGTGGACAGCCGAACTGTTTATTCCCTGTAGATGAAGGGATGCAGTGTGATGAATGCAAAAAATGGTCCCACAAGATGTGTACCCGTCTCAGTCCAGCTGCATACAAAAGATGTTCTAAGCCTAACTCGCACTGGCTTTGTATGTTCTGTTGTACTAACAAGACGACATTAATCCAGGAGGCTATGAGCCTATTGGCTGTAGCCTGTAGAAAGAACAATAGTGGGTGCGTTAGTAACGCAAGTACTGATAGTGAAGACTGTGTCAGTGTTGTAGATGTGCTGTTACAAAACGCGCTGAACAACCTACTCTAATTAATGACAAAGTGAAACTTCAGTTACAACAAACAAGAAGTAAATCACCACATGGTATGGACATGAGTTATCATGCATCTTTAGTAGAAATTGCGAACCCGGATAGAACCGTCACCGTCCCCAATAGTCCCGATGCAGCTGTCCTGAATGACGAAAAATGGACCGCAGTAAGGAGGAAAAGAAAAGGAAAAAAAGCTAAAGATAAAGCACACTTTGTTGACAAGTCATTGAGGAACTCACAGTCTGAGTCACTCAATGCACTATCGCACTCTGATAGAACGGCAGAACATCATCCTAGTGCGACTGAGAGGAATTTAATATCATCGAATATTATTGTGAGTAAATTGCCAGAGTCTAACGATCCAGATCCTAAGGTTAGACACACCCATGACTTAGAGAGGCTCGGAGAATATATCCGTAGCATATTACCAGATAACACTAAAGGTGTTCAGGTTAAAAAATTAGTTAGAATAGGTAAAAGGGCCGATGACAGTGTTCTACCCCGACCGTGTAAGGTAATCTTAGGGTCGGAGAAACAACGTAATCTTCTGTTAAGTAACGCTCGAAGTCACGACAACTCTGACATTCGAATTAGACCGGATGTGTCTCTTGAAGATAGAATAAAAAGGAAGACGGCACTAGCTGAACTAGAAACCCGTCGACAGAACGGTGAAGAAAATCTCCGATTGGTGGGTTTTCGAATAGTCGGGTCTTGGAAGCGAATGCTACCAAGGCCTGTGTGGATAGGTCATTCTCCCTAGGAGTTTTATATGCCAACGCCCGTAGTCTGAGACATAAATTCTGCGAGCTAGGAGCATTAGTGGACAAATTAAGGCCACTCATTGTAGCTGTGACGGAAACTTGGTTAGTCCATGACTTCGATTTCACCCCAGAATTATCCGGATATCATTGTTTAAGAAGTGATAGACATAGATGCAGGAAAGGAGGTGGCGTCCTTCCTCACATAGCCAATAGTATAAATATCCGCTCCTCCGTTTGCGAATCCCATGATAGTGGAACTAGTGAAGTCATTAGCTGTGAGCTCACTGTCGGATGTTGTACATTTGCACTCGGTGTCATCTATCGCAGCCCAACCTTCTTAGCTGATGACTTTATTTTAGAACATATTCAGCTATGGAGTGCGAATAACAGCTGCTTGATATTAGGAGACTTTAATGCACCTGATATTAGTTGGACTGAGATGACCACGAAATGCTCTATAAACTCATTTGATAGCAGGCTCTTGGAAACAGTAATGGAACATGCATTAGTACAACATGTATCCAAACCTACACGTTTTGGTGTAAACCAAGGTTCTTCTCTGTTGGACTTGGTAATTACCCATGAGACTGAGAATATTGCCAACCTAAATATTCTTCCCCCGTTAGTAAATAGCGATCACGCTGTTTTATCATTCACGTTTAGAGCTAGCGATATGATATACTATCAGATTAAGCCTCGCCCAAACATATGGAGAGCTAACATACCAGCCATTCAGGATTGTGCTACTAAGATAGATTGGTCAGTAGATACTAGCTCATCAGTTGACGAGGCGCGGTCTGTATTTAAAGGCAAGTTTAGTGCAGTCACGCCCCCGTTCATACCATACTTGGTGCCACGTAGACCGAACAATAGTCCACCGTGGATAAATAAAGAAGTTAAGAAACTCCTTAGGCGTAGAAAAAAACACTGGAACATGTTCATCTCTACTGGCTTAGAACAGTACAGATCTAGTTATTGTGAGATTAGAAATACTTGCAAAGCGTTAATTAGTAGGATTAGACGGTCATACGAAAAACAATCGGTTAGGGATTGCAAGCATAGCCCAAAACGGTTATTCTCGTATATAAAGAGGCGAACTCAGAGAAGTGATGGAATACCATCACTTTTGATACAAGAAAATTCGTTAAGTTTGGCAAGAAATGATACCGAAAAAGCGGAAGCTTTTTCGGAATATTTCAGTAAAGTTTTTTCTACCAATAATGAGGAACGATCACCTATTCATTGTGATTGTGGCGAGTTGTTGATGGACCCTGTAGTTATTAAGAAAGAAACTGTTTTAAGCTTACTTCAGCATCTCAAACCTGATAAGTCTAGTGGTCCTGATGATATTCATCCTCGGATTATGAAAGCCCTCTCAGATGTTATTGCTGAACCCTTAGCGATACTGTTTGATATGTCCCTGCGGCAGTCCAGATTGCCCAGAGACTGCAAAGACGCGATAATCAGTCCGGTGTATAAGGCTGGGTGTAGGGATTTAGTTAGTAACTATCGACCCATCAGCTTAACTAGTGCAGTTGTAAAACTAATGGAAAAAATTATTAGGATAGCTGTTATAAACTACGTGGGAAGACATGATCTTTTGTCAAAGGAACAACATGGTTTTCGAAAAGGTCTATCACGTTTGACAAATCTCATTGCAAGAGAAGATTGGGCTGAGGCAAAAGATCGTTATATTCCTGTAGATGTCATTTTCATAGATCTAAGTAAAGCCTTTGATAAGGTTTCCCATTCTGGTCTTAAATTAAAACTAGAAAGTTTTGGAATTCATTATGCAGTCATAGACTGACTAAGTGACTTTCTTCATGAAAGGAGACAAAGGGCAAGAGTAAATGGGGCTCTCTCATCGTGGGAACTAGTAGAAAGCGGCGTCCCCCAAGGCACGATTTTAGGTCCTCTCCTCTTTTTACTTTATATAAATGAATTACCAGCTATAGCTAAGTCATCCGTCCTACTATTCACCGATGACATTAAGATTTGGAGACCCATATATATAGCATGTCAGACAGAATAGTTTTACAGGAAGATCTTAACTCACTAGTTGCATGGATGAATGGGTGGTCACTAGAAGTAAACCCTAATAAAAGTGTTGTGATGCAATTAAATAACTACGATGATTCGTATCACTACACAATATGTGGACTAGTGTTGCCCAAAGTAAGAAACTATAAAGATTTAGGAGTCATACTAAGTAATGATCTCAAAACAACCAGTCACTGTAAGGCTGCTGCTGCAAAAGGCTATAGGGTATTATGGTCTATTCGTAGATCTTTCCGGTATCTGGATGGGGAAATGTTTAGATTATTATACCCAACTTTCGTACGGCCACATTTGGAATATGGGATTCAAGCAGCGAGTCCTTGTTTCAAATATGAGACGGATATGTTGGAACGAGTCCAACGCCGCGGGACAAAAATGGTAAAAGGCCTATCTTATGAAGACAGACTGAGACAACTCAACTTATTTCCGTTATCTTACCGGCGAATACGGGGTGATCTAATATTGGCATATCGTATCCTGAACGATGACCTTGGTACTAACATGTCCTATCTTTTCCTCCCGTCTAGGGCTGATCATTTGAGAGGACATTCAAAGAAAGTCCAAAAACCGAGATCAAATCGTCTACGTCTGGAGTTTCGTTTCTCGCACTGAGTAGTGAATTACTGGAATTCTCTAACAGAACACGTAGTATCAGCACCTTCTGTTGATATATACAAGACGAGATTCGACCTCCACAGTGTAAGAAACTGCAAGGATTAAAATAGGTCACTAGACCTCCTATCCTCATTACTGAAGACTGACCCTTGAACGAATCTTAAATGACCTTGAAAAATATAAGCCAATCAGAAGACAGTTAGTATACAGTAAAAATATATTATACAAAACCAAAGAATTAAAGTGGAAACACTTCTTTTACATGATCTAAAACTTCTCAAAATCAGATATAGGTTCAGAAGTTCTAAAATCATAGTGCATACGGTACAGGAACACATCCATATGGCTCCATAGTAGTCGACCTCTGAAACCATGATAAGGTCTCAAAAATTCTTTTAGCCTCGACCACATAGCTTCAATAATGTTAGTATATTGGTATGGTTTACGGGTTAGAGTTAAGGTTTAGGTGTAGGGTTATGGGTGAGACTATAAGTTATGGACAACCTTTGAGCGACGCTAGAGTGACTCTGAGTGTCAACATAATGAGGGTTATAAACCTGTGTGAAGAATTCAAATTATGATTTACAGTCCATGATTAAGGCTAGGCATTATACTTAGGGTTTTCATCACCAACTGACATAAGCTAATTGAATTTCGCGCCAAAATCTTATGATCACTTCTGTTGTAGACGCTATTATCTTACCATTGAATGTGAAACACTGAAGGCAGTAACGGCGAATTCAGTAAATTTATCAGTGAAGACAGATAGCGCAGATGATGTGCAGTCTGGAGTCATGTAGATATTGTTACCATAAATATATTTGTATTTATTCAGGTGTTTTGAACGGCACCTTAAAGTTAGACAGTCAATAAAGTCGTTTGAAAACTTGAAACAGGCAAAAGTAGATCGACACCAGTTAACATTTACAAAAGTAGCTACTCCGCCACCGCAGGTCTTTTTATTGTTTGATCGATCCTGACGATAGATATTAAAATCACATAATGACACTAAGCAATCATCCTGTAAGTCAGATAACCAAGATTCTTGAATTGTGATGACACCACAATTACGATACATGTTTTGACTTAGCAGAAATTGGAGATAGTCCACCTTGTTAATTAGTGATCGACAGTTAAAATTAAGTAGCTCGGGAATCGACATTTGATTGATGTTTATTCTCTTTAAAGCATATTGCCAACCACCACGATGTCTCTTTTTGTACTTGTTTGTAATTTTTGCAGCGAAAGGACGTAAGCTTTTTATAAATGCGCCTGTATATGTTATGCGATTAATAGACATAATGATAGGTTGAAACAAATTAAAAAAAAACAAGATAACTTGTTGAAATATTTAGATGGCAGAAACAGGTAGCCCAGGTATTCAAGCAGGCCGCCGAGTTATAGTTTGAGAATCTGTTTTCACAAAAAACTGACTTGTTCTCGATCCCATCACATGAGTTAGCTTGGTCTAAGACCATGTTAGTCGATAGCTATCAGTAACACTAGAGTATCGTTGAAATCATAACTCTGGTGTCTCCTCATTTGCGGACAAATCTTTCGCTTTTTACTAACTTCGTTGAAATCATGAACCGATCTGGGCTAGACCACCATTGAAGACTTGAATGAACTGGAAGGCAGTCTTGTCCTAACATGGGACTCCTCAGCAGTCCTCATCCACGACCCCACAAGTGGCACTTGAACCCATGACCTTCAGAAGAGGTAACTAAATTTCATTGAAATTCGACTATCTGCACACCTATACTGAAAATTAACTATGTACTCACTACTGGTTAGCTTAGAGAGGAAATTTTCGGAGATGTGGTTAGAAGTCATGACCAGTGAGGTTAATCCGTGTCGAGTGTGGGACAGTTACACATTGAGGACAATGGGAAATGATTGATCGATGTATTAGATCAATTAAAATTAGAAATCAACACCGTTTGATCTCGTCTCAGTGGTCTAGAGGTGAAACTTTCAAGCGCACTACTGAAGATCATGTATTGGATTTGCACGTGCGGAATCGTGTATGCGCACTAGTGAGGAGTCCTGTATTATGACGAATCAGCCGTTTAATGCTTCCACTTTTTCAGCGGTGGTCCAACGTAGATCGGTTGATGAGTTCAATGAAATCCAACAATTTCTATAGCCCCATAGTGAAAACACAAGAATAGTAAATATGCTAATACGCGTCCACTAGCCGAGACATCTGTGGAAAAGCAGAGAAACAGGTGGTATTCTCTTAAACAAAACAAAAACGACAGGAGATAGTTTTGTCTGAGCTTCATAATTTACTTAAGCCGACTGAATTATACGTACTACGACTTTA